TGGGCCCAAGCCGTGTCCCCCCCCCCCACCTCATCTCCCCCACCCCCATCCATTCGTGTCCACGCCTCTTTTCAACCTCTCCCCTCCTTGTGCATGCAAACTCGGCCCCAAAGCATATGTGACATTTTTTATTACTGAAATCATAATGCTGACTCAAGGCTAATCTTCAGCGTGCGAGCTTTAATCAGGGTTGTATAGAAATCACCGTTGCAACATGTTCCTGCAGGACTGCTGCTTCCCCGCCTGATGGCAGCTCCTCTGGGTGAAGCGGACACAGGAGCAAGCCGGAGTGCCGTCTCAGTTGCATTTCCGTCCTGGGGGACAGGCGTGGGGAAGGGGCTTTTAATAGCTGAGCCCTTTGTGAAGTCACGTCTTAGACTGCTGGTTGTAACCGAATACGGGGCCGAGCTTAGACTGTTGTCAAGGTCCCTGTGACCAGGGTGGACCCCCATCTGTTCCATCATCAGCCCAGTTCCCGTCATCCCCTCCGTCTGTCGATTCATCATCTGCCCGTTGACCTATCGACTAATGGGATCTATCATCCACCTGTGTAGCCAACCAGGATTTAACCAATCAAACCAGCCGTCCATCCAGCTCGGATTCTATGATTCACACACTCAGCCTCCCAGAGCCCTGCAGCCCTAACATGCCAGCGGATCTAGTCAAACATCCAAGCAGTGCATTATCCCTCCTGGCTAGTCACGTCCATTCACCTGTCATTTAACCAGTGGCTCCAGCCATCCACCCAGCCAGTCCCTTTTGTTACGTCGTCTACCAGCTTCCAGTTAACGTGCCCACCCGGTCATCCAGGCTGCCTCGCCACCATGCTTCTGTCTAGCTGACCTGTTCTGTCCACCCTCCCGTCCTCCCAGTCAACCACCAGCATGTTAGACTCCGCCCCTCGAGACCCCATGCATCCAGCTAACCAGATGCCACCCTTCCCCGTCATCTGCTTCGCTAACCTGACCGGGGGGCAGCAGTCGTCCCCCACTGCCCCCAAGTTCCAGCTGGCTGCTCCCTGTCAGCCGTGTGCTCTGGGGTCCTTCCCGCCTGCCCAAAGGGTACCTGAGCTCCGCCTCTTTGTTTTGTACACCTGCCGGCTCCTCTTGGTCCCCTTTCTCTTGTTCACTTTTCCCACCAAGGTCTTTCTCTTCCTGAGGCAGCTGCTGTGATGGGTGGGCCGCGACGGGGAGGGGTGTGAGTGCATGGTCTGTCTGTGGTGCCTGGGTGGCAGGCTGGGGCTGGGGCCCGGGCTCTGGCCCTGGTGGCCGAGTGAGCTGCGGTGACTGGCCATGCCCCGGCTGCAGCTCCAGCTGCAGTGCTGGCAGTGGTGGCTGCGGCTGCCCTGGCTACAGGTGTGGCCCTGGGGCCGGGAGTTGCTATGGGGCTGGGTGTGGGCGATGGGAAGGCTCTGTGCCTTGGTGTCCATGGGAGGCCACGCGTGGAGGGGCAGAGGCCGCCTCCTCCTCCTCTTCTCCCAGCAGGGCCAGCTTTACAGTGGCCCTCGCAGCACCTGGTTATATACTCGGAGCCGATTATGATGGCACAGGCCCGAGGGTGTAACAGATGTGCACGTCCGGGACAAAGCCCCCACCCCTACCCTCAGCCCCAGGGTGGGGCAGTGATCAGCCATGCTCTGGGGTAGCCCCATGCGTGGGTCCTGACCAGCCTGTGGCATGGTGGTTAGCATGGCCAGATCCCACGTGGCTGACCATGTGGTTGAGTCCCAGACCCAGTGGCATGAGAAACATGCTGGGCACATGTGCATGTTCCCAAAATATCAAGAAGAGAGTGGAGGAAGAGGGATTGCGGTGTGACAGTCCTCCATGGGGGTTTTCTCTCTCTCTCTGTCTCTCTCTCTCGCCCGCTCTCCAGTGAGTGTATTCACCTCTGGCAAAATTTTAAAAAATGAAAGAGTAGGGGCCCCACGTTAGTTTGAGCTGAGCAAACACCCCAGATCCACTCCTGCTCAGCCCTAGGGGTCCACCCGACAAGTCCTAGTGTCCCGACTTTGTATAATGGGGACAGCTGTCATACCGTCTTGGCCGGACACTGGCAGGATGCGACAGGTGCACTGGTGTCAGGCAGTGCCCGGGGCCCAGCCCGCAGAGCAGCTAGCACACCCGGCCTCGGATGCTCAAGTGCAGCCCTGAGCCCGGGGCCGTGGGGAAGCCAGGGCCGATGGGCTGCTTGTGTGCTTTCTTGGAGAGATGAGTGACAGGAGTAACCGAGTGATCTGACCAGTGGTCCTGGGGCCTTCCCAGCAAGCCCTCCTCTCCAGCAGGACTCAGCGCTGGGAGATGCAGAGCCGGATTCAAAGCCCGTTATTACTCGTGTCCAGTCTTTGGGGTCACCGTGGGTTTGGTGGCTCAATGCTCTGTGTGACGAAGGGGCCTTGTCCCTTCTTTCCTAATATCCCTGTGAGCCGAGATGCCCGTCAGGCTTCAGGCCCTTAGAAACCTGTCCCCTTCCACTTCCTACCCCCTGCCTCTGCTGCCCTCCCTGCTAAGGACACCTGCCGGGCAGTTCCCATCAGCCCCAGCCCAGGTGCCCCAGAGCGCCTCACCTCCCGGAAGGAAGCCCAGGACCAAACTGGTGTCCAACAGGAGGCTGTCTGACCTCCCTGGGTTTCAGGCAGGCATTCTACCTGAGCAACCCACCCTTTCCTCCCTGAGCCCTCGTCTCCCCTGGGCCCTGGGCCACTCCTCCCCTCCTGGAGCCCTGGTCTCCCCTGGACAGCATCCTCCGCCTACTTCCCTATTGCTCCCCAGAACTCTGACTCCCTCTGGTTGCCCAGAAACCCCCACAGCCCAAGCTCACTTTCTGTCCCCACCGCCCCCGTGCACCTTTGTCTCCCCCATAGGATTTGCTGTCCTCTGTTTTTCTCAAAGTTTGTTTCTTAGTCAACTTGTCAGATTGCACCCAGAGCGCAGTGTTGTCATTTACTGACCACTTCCCCCTGAGCTCTGAGCCTTCCCCCTTGCCGAACAGCTTTGTCTGGAGTTTCATAATGAACCCTGTGCAGGACACCGAGTGGTGGCCCCCCGAAATCTGTGTCCTTACCTAACCTCTGGAACCTGCCAGTGGAATCTTACTTGGGAAAGGGGTCTTTGCAGCTGTGATTAGGCTAAGAGTTGAGGTGAGCGCATTTAGGTGTGGGCCCTAAATCCACTGACAAGAGTCCTTATAAGTGGCCAAAGACACATGGAGAGAAGAAAGACCATACAAAGTCGGAAGTGGAGGATGGGGTCACGGAACGGGGACCAGGCAGTGGCGCACGTGAGACACAGTCTGGGGTAATTTGATAGAGCAGCCTCGGGGAAATGAATGCACCCTGCCAGGCAGGTACAGAGAAGAACTGGCTCAGCGAGGTTGGGGAGCTGGCCCCACGTTGGCCAGTGGCAGAGCCAGGGTCCCGGTCCAGGTCTGGCTGCCTGTCCCGATCACTGCTGGGTTCTCAGGGAGTCCTGAGGGCAGGTGCAGCTCTGCCTGGGCAGGGCTCGGCCACCTGGTTGGGGGATGTCAGGCCACACTGCAGCGACCCTCTCTGGGTCTCTGGACACTCTCCCTCCATGAGCCCCCACTCCTTCATTGCTGACTCCCCAGTTCCTGCTTCCTGCAGTGATCCTGTCCGTCTGCTGTCAGCGCCAGCCCTTCCTTCCCACCTCCTGTCTAACCCTCCCAAGGAGAAGCCAGCTGGTGCCATACGGTGCCTTTATGTGGAGCCAGAGACTGCGCTTCTTCCTGTCGGCTGTTGGTCAGAGCGCCCAGCCTACAGCAGGAGTGAGCCTGCAGGTGGGGCGCAGGGGGGCGCTGAGAGCGTGAGGGTAGCAGCCCCCCAGCAGGCCAAGGGGACCCACCATGACCCCAGCAATGACACCTGTCTCAGCTGAACACTTAGTAGGCGTCAGGCCTGGTCCTACCTCACCAGTTAATTCTCCCGACCAACTGGCCTGCCCACGGAAAGGGCTTAGCCCCCACCGTAAGTGGGGAAAGGAAGGGTCTCAGAGACCCACGGTGACTTACTCCAGGTCACACAGCCAACAGAGGAGAAATACGATCTTGGGTGTGCTGAACTCTCAAGCCAGTGCTCCTTTGGACAGCCCACAGAGCCGCAGTGGAGTTGGGCTGGGGGAGTCGCACGGTGCCCCTGGGAGCTCAGGCTCCGAGAGGATCCCCCACCTTTGAGACGGTGGAGTTGGGCTGGGGGAGTCGCACGGTGCCACTGGGAGCTCAGGCCCCGAGAGGATCCCCCACCTTCGAGACAGGCCTGGCCAAGATGACTTTCCAGCCCAGGAGACACTTTCTACCCCGAAAAGCAGGCAGAGCCTCTGACTGGATTTCAGGAGCAGGGCACTGACCCCTGATCTTCAACCCCCCGTCAGCTGGCCTGTCCACAGGCCTCCACGCACACCCACACACATGCGCGCACACACAGTGCCACTCAGGGTGGCATTAGCAGAAACTGGAGAGGAGGAGACTTCCTTTGAGACTTTTTATTGACTCTTTTCTGAAAGTTCTCGCTGGAGTAGTGGTGGGCACTCTTCCTGGGCCGTCGCCATCGGTCAGGAGTGCACCTGCTTGGGCTCAGGACTCTGCTCGGCCATGGGGCTGTCCTCGGCGCTCTCCTCCTGCCGCTCGGCCTCCATCAACAGCAGCTTGCCCTGCACTGGAAGCTCCTCTTCCTCCTCCTCCTCTTCCTCTTCCTCTTCCTCCTCCTCGTCCTCCTCCTCTTCCTCGCCCTTGGAAGACAAGGAGAAGTTGTCCTGACTCACGCAGGCCACAAATTTCTTCATGGAGGATTCATGGCCCCGGCTGTGGCCCGTGCCGTGGCCCGTGCTGTGGCCTGTGCTGAGCTTGGCACAGCGGGAACCCATCGCCCACTCTGCCTGTCTCTCTGGACTAGGAGGGGCGGCGGCCGGGCAGAGAGGGCTCTGAGGGCAGGAGGCAGGGCGCTGACATCACAAAGGGCCTGGGCCCACCCCCACTCGGGGGCCTGAGCTGAGCCAGCCCCTGACTCAAACCTGGGACCCCAGCAGCTCTCGCCACCTGCCAGGCAGGGCACAAGGCTGTTCGTCAGACCAGCGTCAGTGCCCCTTACCCTGCTGCACTACCACCCCCTTCCTGATCCTGTCTGTCCTGGCAAAGGTCCCTCTTTTAGCTGGGTTGAGAGTTGGGGGTACAGTTGCTGAAAGCCATAGGGGCACACTCAGGCTCCTCCCCACATCCCACCAATACCCTGCCGCAGAGAGTTGTGGGCATGTGTGAAGGAGGGCGGAACAGGGCACAAAGTGCCTCCTTGGGCTGGCAGTGGGTGTCCGTCGGCCTGCTGCCCCCTGGTAGTAGTGGTGGAGCCGTGTGCACTTACAGTGTGTGCCCTCTGGGGCTCGACGGTGGCACAGGAGGAGGATGCACTGCTGTCACAGAAGGCTCTGGGTCTGTGTCTGGAACCCTTGCAGACGCTGGGTATGCACTGAGCTGCCTCAGGCTGAGGCGGACCTCGGCCTGCAGACTCTGTTGGGGTCTCTCTGTAGCTCCCTCGTGGGAGTAATACATTTAAAAAATAATGCTTTCTGTGTAAGTTAATGAAGACTTTTAAAAAATGCATGGAAAATGGAATTAATGAGTTTTCTCTGGGGCAAAAAGTTGTGAAATCCATGCATTTTTTTCATCATATGCATTTTCTAGGATTCTGTGAATTTTTTTTGTTGGATTTTTTGCTAGAGGGCAGGTTACACAATCATCCCCCAGGGAGGATGGCCACACTGCAGTCCCTTTCCCTCCAGTCTGCCCTCAGGTTTTGGGGGCACACGACATGCGCCTTAGCACATGAGTTTGAAGCCATTGGATCCAGGACTCAAACTGCTCAACCAGCCATGTAGGATCCAGCACCTTAACCTTTACACCGCCTGCTGCCCTTTCTTTGAAGACACTCCCCACCCCCAGGTAAAAGGCCCCTGTCCTTCGGGGCCTGAAAGTGTAGTCCTTAAAATCTCTTTGAAAGCTGCAGCTCCTACGCTTTTGTGGTCACAGGTTCCAGTGTCATGGGAGGTGTCGTGGAACTTGCTCCTTGCAAGGCCGCGCATGCCCACGCCCAGTTTCAGCAGGGAGCAGGAGGTACGGGTCTGATCAGAGCTCCAGGAATCTTTTTCAACCTGTGCATCGGAGCCTGTGACTTACTGCTGGCTGAAATTGGTTGAATAGCCACCCTCTAAGATGTTTAGACACTGTAGACCCTACAGCATCCCTAAAGATCTCAAGACAGGGACATCGTCCTGGGTGTGGTGGGCGTCCTATCTGAAGGTGCTGTGAGAATCTGGGCTGCCACCAGAAACAGAGGCCAAGGGCGGACTGTCCCTGGGGTTCTGGAGATGGCGTGGCCCCGTGCTAATTTCCAGGCCTCCCATAGTCTGGCCTCTACCCTCTGCTTTGCCCGAGCCTTTTGCTCCACCCTTGCGCCTGTTGGAGAAGCCTGGCCTGGCTCCCACAACTCACGCCCTTGAGACCCGGGACTTTAGAATCCTGAATGGGGTACACAGTAGGCACTTTAACAGTGACCACGAGGTCTGTCTGGGCAAGGAATACAGGAGTAACTTCCCATCACCCCTTCCATGGAGTGGGGTAGGGTTCTCAAGAGATTGGAAGCCTGGCCTCATGGCTTTTTTGGAGAGATTTGTGTTTTTGGTTTTTTTTGTTTTTGCTATAGGGCGTGTGCGCTCACCAGAGAGACAGAGACAAAACGAGCAATCACCCCCTAGTGGGGATGGTCACACCACAATCCCTTCTCCATTCTCCTCTTGGGATCTTGGGCACGCACGCACACGCACCCAACGTGAGTTTAAGCCACCGAGTCCGGGACTCGAACCATGGTCAACTACATGGGAGTCCAGCAACATAGCCATTACACTAACTGCTGGTACCTAGCCTCGTGGCTTTTGATGCCATGAAAGGACGCATGATGTGTCACAGGTAACATACCAAGCAAGGTGCCTGTCCCCTCACTCAGGGCTTTGAGGAAGGGCTGCGTGTCGCCCACCCAGAGGGACTTGGGCTGTGGGCACAAAGGAGACCCCGACAACCAGTGTTTTGTCAAGTTTTATTTGGCAGGTGGCTCTTGTGCATTTGCTCAGATCTTGTGGGCTCTTTGGGCACCGCATGGGGCGGGTGTCAGGGCTTCATGTGCTGTTCGTTGGGCAGGCGACTTTAACTCCCACAGGGGAGCGGGGCCCAAGGAGATCTAGTGGTACCTTCTGTATCCCCTCCTCCTGGTTCTTCTGCAGCCTTTTGGAAAAGACCATTCTAGTTGAGGGGCTACCTCTGGGAGCGGGGTTGGGGAAGCTAACTTTGGGAGGCTGCCAGGTGGGGTGGGGCCCAGCCTCCCCGCCACCCTCTGCACAGGACGCAGGTCCCGGGGCCCGAGCAGTGGGGACACAGGTGCAGGGGGCAGACCTCTGCGGTGCCGCCTCCTGTGCCTCCGGCTGGAGCGCCGCCGCCGCCGCCGGGGGGGCCGGCGGTGCGGCCTCCTGCGGGAGCAGTGCCTGTGCCTGTGGTGGCGGCGGCCCTGGTAGGTCCGGCCGTAGGCCTCGATGCTCTCGGGGTTCAGGCCCTGCTCTGGCTCCTGGCCCTCGCGGCCGGCCTCCTGCCCGTGCGCCTGCTGCATGTGCCCCTGGTGGGGGTGTTCACTCGGGCTGCGCTCGCGGTACCGGACCATGGCGCTGGGATCAGGCGGCCTGGGCAGGGGCTGCAGCTAGCCGGGGAGGAGGGCTGAGGCCTGCCCGCCTGCTCTTGGTGTTACTGTTGGTCTGCTTGGCGGGGCTCTCCGGGGGCTCCTATATAGAGGGGGCCCACTATGACCTGGCAGCCCCGCCCCCTCTGTGAGGGCAACACAGGGCAGGGGCCCACGGCCAGCAGGGCCCTGCATTCGGGCTGGGGTGCTGGAAGGGCAGGCCACTGCCTCGTCTCGCCCGTACATGTGTCCAAGTCCCTGGTAGCAGGTGGGACTCTGGTCACAGAGAACAGTGCCTGCTTTTTACTGTCCCAAACCAAGCCCCGATGCTGCCAAGCCGTGAGAGCGCACATGCGCTCGTTCCAGAAGCGTCCCTGCCTCTACTCGTGGTGCCATGTCGGGGTTTATGTGGCACCAACGTGTGGGAGGGACTTCCAGCAGCAGCTGTGCAGTCACCCCATCACCACTGACGTGGTCACAGCAGTCTCTCACCCCATCGCCTTGTACACATGCCCCTCGCTTGTCTGTGTCTCCCACGCTGTCACTCCCCTCCTCCCTGGTACAGTCCCGGCTCCTGTGGGGGACACCAGTGCATTAAGAGGTTAAGTGAGTTGCTCAAGGCCACTTCGTAGTGAGGGCCCAGGCAGGGCCAGGCTTCAGGTCAAGGCAGCATGGCCTCGGCCACCCCCACTTCCACCCCAGGGCACCCCTTTCCCTTCCTCCGAGTAGGAACCTTCGCCCCGCAGCCCTGCCGTACTCCTGGGCCTCTCGCCATACTCCAAGGAGCCCAGTGAGGTCCAGAATCCAGCAGAGCCGTTGATGTCCTTCCCTTTCTGAGGGAGTAGGGAGGGTAAAATAAGGCCTTTGCCCGAAGTCATGCACAGCCGTGCCAGGACCCGTGACTGGGCCCTCTGCCCAGGGCTGCACACATGCAGCTAAGGGCATTGCGACGGCAGGTGGTCCTGGAAGGTCGCGTGGGCCCAGGGCGGTCTCTCGGCCCGTAGAAGATGGAGGAGAGAGGTGGGGAGTCTCAGGAAGAGTGGCAGCTGCTGGGCTCAGGTTCTGAAGACAAAGCAGGCACTGCACGGAGTCTCTCGGCGCTGGGAAAGACAAGAGGGATTCTTTTCTTCCCTTCCTTTTCACGTGCATTCACTGGAGAGAGAAAGAGGAAGCACTCCTCGGGGGGATGGCCCTGCCACAGTCCTTTCTCTTCCGTTCTCCCAGGATTTGGGGCATGTACGCTTTTTGTTTTTGCTATAGGGTGCATGTGCTCGCCAGAAAGACAGAGAGAGAGAGACAGAAAGTGAAAAATCACCCCCCAGGGAGATGGCCCTGCCACAGTCCTTTCTCTTCCGTTCTCCCAGGATTTGGGGCATGTACGCTTTTTGTTTTTGCTATAGGGTGCATGTGCTCGCCAGAAAGACAGAGAGAGAGAGACAGAAAGTGAAAAATCACCCCCCAGGGAGATGGCCCTGCCACAGTCCTTTCTCTTCCGTTCTCCCAGGATTTGGGGCATGTACGCTTTTTGTTTTTGCTATAGGGTGCATGTGCTCGCCAGAAAGACAGAGAGAGAGAGACAGAAAGTGAAAAATCACCCCCCAGGGAGATGGCCCTGCCACAGTCCTTTCTCTTCCGTTCTCCCAGGATTTGGGGCATGTACGCTTTTTGTTTTTGCTATAGGGTGCATGTGCTCGCCAGAAAGACAGAGAGAGAGAGACAGAAAGTGAAAAATCACCCCCCAGGGAGATGGCCCTGCCACAGTCCTTTCTCTTCCGTTCTCCCAGGATTTGGGGCATGTACGCTTTTTGTTTTTGCTATAGGGTGCATGTGCTCGCCAGAAAGACAGAGAGAGAGAGACAGAAAGTGAAAAATCACCCCCCAGGGAGATGGCCCTGCCACAGTCCTTTCTCTTCCGTTCTCCCAGGATTTGGGGCATGTACGCTTTTTGTTTTTGCTATAGGGTGCATGTGCTCGCCAGAAAGACAGAGAGAGAGAGACAGAAAGTGAAAAATCACCCCCCAGGGAGATGGCCCTGCCACAGTCCTTTCTCTTCCGTTCTCCCAGGATTTGGGGCATGTACGCTTTTTGTTTTTGCTATAGGGTGCATGTGCTCGCCAGAAAGACAGAGAGAGAGAGACAGAAAGTGAAAAATCACCCCCCAGGGAGATGGCCCTGCCACAGTCCTTTCTCTTCCGTTCTCCCAGGATTTGGGGCATGTACGCACACACACCAGATGTGTTTCTCAAGCCTCTGGGTCCAGGATTCGAACTACCCAGTCATCCATGTGAGAGCCAGCTGCCCTAGCCACCACACCACTAGCTGGCTTCAAAAGGGGTATTCTCCCTGGAACATCCAGGAGAAGCACAGCCCTGCTGACACCGAGACCCATTAGGAAATTCTGACCTGAGCAGCTCCCAGCTGAGGAGCGTAAGCTGTTCTAGGTTCTGACGGGTCCGGGCCCAAGCGCAGTGGCAGTGAGAACGGTGAGAAAGGGTCCCAGGCCTTTTCCCTCCCACCTGTTAGGGAGGGTGGCATGCTGCACCTGCGAACTTCATTCTTGCCCAGGGTACTTATTAAAAATGTGAATGCCCACATTACCCAGGACCTGCTGAGTCCAGACCTCCACAGCTAGAGCTTGAGAATCAAGATGGAAAAGAGCCAGCTGGCGGCGTGGCGGTGAAGGCAGCGGGCCCCCAGATGGCCAGCTGGGTGGCGTAAGTCCCAGACAGAGCGGCCTAAAAAGCACACTGGGCGTGTGTGTGTGAGCCCAAGAGGAGAATGGAGAAGGGATTGCAGCATGGCCATCGCCCCAGGGGTCGATTTCTTATTTTCTATCTCTTGGGAGCGCACACGCCCTATAGTAAAAACTAAAAAACACAAAGTGGGGGAGCCTGCCAGGGGCCTGCACGTGTAGCTGGCCGCTGTCTTCCTCTGCCCCTGGAGGGGCGACCCTTGCTAAAGCAGTTGGGGTCATGGGAGCTCTGAGCTGTGCGAGTCTCGGTGGCTGCCCACCTAAAACATGGCAACGGGACAGTGGCCACGTTAGGAGCACCTGCCGCACCGCGGGAGCAACGTTGCGCGCGGCGAGGGGCCCAGGTTAGGCCCCCCTGCCGCACCGCGGGAGCCGCATAATCAAGGCATGGCAGGACGTGCCCGAGGTGTGCACGGGGCCGGCGTGGACCTGGGTCTGAGCATCTGCCCGCTGCCTGTGCTCTGCCCCAGCTCTGGAGCTGGCCCTGGGCTCGTCAGGCATCTGAGAGTTGGGCTTTCCTAGCTGTAACTAAGCCAGGCCGGCCAGAGCCCCCGGGGTTTCTCGTGTCAGGACTCGTGACCCATCTTCACACCTCGCGGGTTTTAAACCCTGTTGGCTGGGAGTGTCAGTGCAGACGGTGTCACGGGCTGAGGGTGGCTTGAGTCAGACCAGACGGGCAAGGGAACACCTCTAGTCCACAGTTGGGCTATTACCTGTACAAGGTATCGCGTATCCACGTGGGGATGAAAATTTAGAGCTGCTGAATGAGGAATAAAACAATTTCACTTGACTTTCTGATGGAGACTTGCTTCATCCATAAACGTAACCAAAGAAGCCCTCTTTTGAAGTGGAGGTTTCCGTTTGGGGCTAAACTGGACACTTCGGGGCAGATATGAGTGGCAGCACTGAGCTGGTTAAATCTAGCTCAAGCCGACCTTGAACTGGCTGTGGCTCTGGGGGACCTCAGGCCTCCCTAGGATAAAGGCAGTCCTTTGCTAATTCCTGTGGTGTAAATGCTCCCACCGTGGCCTAGTTCAGGCTGCCAATGAGTCACTGAGCAGAGCTGGGAGGTTATGTAGGAACCGGGGTGGTGGGGCTCCAGAGCTCCCTCCTGGCGTGGGGCAGCAGGCTGGCTGTGACCTGGCAGTGCTGCCAACAGTGTGACTGTCGCTGTCTCATGTCCCCCTGCCCAGCGTCTTTTCCCTTTCATTCTGTCCCTCCCCTCCCCATCACACCCCCAGGTCCCCCCCTTCTCAAGGACGGACACCGAAGTACAATGATTTTTCAACATTTATTGACAGGCGGCATTGTTCCTTAGCAGGCTCCTGTTCGTCATCGGATGGTGGCGTTTTCGAGATGTGGCGAGAGGGTCGTGAAGTCTGGTAAAGTTCTCAGGCAGGAGTGTGGTGGTGACCTGCTACTGTTGCTTCTAGTATCTTCTACACCTCAGGGTGTACAGGCGGCAGCATCCTGGGGGAGCAAGGCGGGCGTTGAGAGGGGCCCCCGGCCCGGCCCCACACCG